TCTGCGCATGCGGCGGGCCAATCCAATCCATCTTATCTCATCCAATCCATCTCTTCCGATCCAACCCATCTCGTATTTACCAATCCATCTGATCCCATCCATCCCATCTAAGCAACCATCCGCGTGGTGAAGGGAAACTCTGATAGAGAGGGAGAGAGAGAGAGAGGGAGACAGAGGGAGAGAGCGACAGACAGAGAGAAAGAGAGAGATATGATATCGAGGTGGCGCGCTGTAGGTCAATCAGGGTGAGCATGTGATCTCAATCCCCCCGAACCTCCTTATCGCCAGCAGGGCGGTCGTATAGGTAGTCGTAGTAGCAGTAGTAGCAGCACTACTACTACTACTACTACTACTACTACTACTACTACTACTACTACTACTACGACTACTACTACTACTACTACGACGACGACTACTACTACTACTACTACTACTACTACTACGACTACGACTAGTACTACTACTATCATTACTACTGATACTACTACTACTACTACTACTCCTAGTACTATTATCACTACTGCTACTACTACTACTACTACTACTACTACTACTACTACTACTAGTACTACTACTACTACTACTACTACTACTACTACTACTACTGTACTACTACTACTACTACTACTACTACTACGACTACTACTACGACTACTACTACAACTACTACTACGACTACGACTACTACTACGACTATTACTACTACTACTACTACTACTACTACTACTACTACTACTACTACGACTACTACTACTACTGCTACTACTACTACTACTACTACTACTACTACGACTACTACTACTACTACAACCACTCTACCACTACTACTGCTACTATTACATATTCTTCTACTACTACTACTACTACTACTACTACTACTACTACTACTACATCTACTACTACTACTACTACTACTACTGCTACTACTACTACTACTACTACTACTACTCGTGTTAGTATTAACGGTAGTAGTAGTCGTAGTAGTGGTGCTGATATATCCCCACAGCCCGTGAAAGAGACCAGAACAAGCAGTGTCGATAAGCACGCGCGACTCGCCCGCAACACGAAACATAAAGTCACCTGCGACCCGACATGTCGCGGAATATCGGCGGATGGTGCGATTGGCAACGGCGCGCAGCGTCTCCTTCTTGAGTGATAGAGAGCGCATGGGTAGCAGGATAAGCAGATTGACGATCTGCAGGGACCCATCTCCTCTCTGGCATCAAGCATCAATATTCGCCCATGTTTGATGATGGTTGGCTCAATGTGTCGGAATGTACTGGCAAGAGTTTTCCCACCTGCAACCACGATTCCCCTTGCCTTGTGCTCAGCACAAAAAGCCCCCCCATCAACAAAAAAACTGTTGTTCACCCGTGGAACGTTGCAAATCAGCCTCGGGCCCACGGGCCTCCTGAATCAACCAAAAAGGGTGCTTAAACAACAAAGCCGAGCAAGCTGCCTCCAGCGCTTCCCGACGACGCTGCCGGCAAGGCCTGCGGCATTCCAAACTCGCGATGCTGAGGTTGTCCTGTGGCAAAAACGGGTGCAGAGACGCAAGTGGTTCAACCGGGGAAGGGGGAGACGGACTGGCAGGCACTTGGGGCCCACCTGCCTTCTGACCGTCAGCAGGCTCAGAAAACCTCCGTGGAAGCTCGTGAGCCTGGCCATGGGTACTTTGCATGATGCCCGCAATCTGCTCGGCGGACACGTCGGTTTAATGCAAATTGTCGCGGGTGGGCATAACCTTCTTGCCGATCTGCGTGTGCTTGATCTCGAACAGCTCGTAAACGCGCGCCTCCGCACCCTCGCCGTACTTGGCGAACAGGACGCCGAAGTGTGAGTTAACGCCAGGCATGCTGCCACTGAACCTGCCAGCTGCGAGCGCCAAAGCCTTGGTGGTTTCCAACGGATGGGAGCGCTGCATCTTCTTCTCACGAATGTGCGGGGGGCTACCACGACGAATTCTCAAAACGTGCAATGTGTCGTTTGTGCGGTCCAACCACGTACTAGGTTGCACCGTCCAGGTAGTAAGGAATGACGCGGAGACGTCCCTATCCTTGAAGACGAGCGACTAGCTCATGGAGAGGTTGTGAGCGATGGCGTGTGCGTCGCGCGCGTTCGGGCCGAGCGATCTCTTCATCACCTCATTGCGCGCGACGAGAGCGGTTTTGAGCATTTTATGGCGGAGTACCACCGATGTGGAGCTTGAGAGGGTCATCTGATGTTACTGCTGAACGTGCGCTTCGCGATGACGAAGCCGCAGCTGATGTGCCACCTGGGCGTCGTGCGCTGCCATATCCGTTCATGTCGCGCCTCAACCTCGAAACCTCGGCCATGCACTCCTGGTACTTCGCTTCGACCTTCCCGTCCAGATGGAGTAGCGAATTTTTCACCTGTGGTACCCACGCGACCAACTCCTGCAAAGCGGTGTCCGTGGCCACGATGCGCTGGTTGATCTGTTCCGGTTGTTCGGCCATCCCTGTCATCATCGGCTTGATCTCGGCGAACATAACAGCGGTATCACCCGCTTTGTCTTAAAGGCTGGCTGCTAAGCTGGAGCGGCGCACGCCTCTGGCCCACTGAAGGACCTTTCGGGAGGAGTGGATCGTGTGAGAACAATAAGGGGGAACTCCGATTGGACGCTTGAGCCGCCCCATTGGCAGCGTCCAAGTTCGAAACGTCAGGGCCAACTTTTGAGGAGGGAGGGCGGGCGAATAATAGGATGATGATGATGATGATGGGGAGGAGGAGGAATATAACACTTTTAGCAGGAGGGCGTGGAGAATTGGGAGTAGAGCAAGATGATCAGGGGGAAGGGGAGATGAGGACGACGGAATCAGCTCTGAGGAGGAGTATAATGGCTACGAGGACCACGACGGGAACCAGGAAGACCACGAATACGAGTGCGCGGCAGCTTCTACAATATAGGGCGGAGCGCTGGTATAATGATCATGGTGAGGAACATGACGACGATGAATCATCCTGGTGAGGAAGAACACCTGATCCTGTCCTGCCGCAGGTGGTGGAGGAGCGAGGACGAGGAGGAGCCAGATCTCCGAAGATATTTTGTTCAATCGGGGTGGTGTCCTTTGTGTTGCTGCCTCTGGGGCCTCTTACCCGGTTTCTTGGTTATCGAACGTGGGTCCTGGGCGAACAACTGGCCCCGGGGAAGGTGTCGGGACCACATTGGCAAAACATTGAAAAAATCAGATCGGCGGATGTCAGAGGAGGAGGTTCGGCTCGGCTCGGCGCTCAAGGTCTGACTCGTGCTGCGATTGGTGCACCCCTGCGCGGGTGCCTGGCAAGTTCCTCGGCAAACCACTCTACCTCGCAGACGCATGCTCGGGGCGACCCTCATGCCCCCTTAGCCGAGCGGATGCAGATGAGGAGCCTCGCCAATTCAAAAGTATGCTCCTAGCGCACTCCACTGCTCGGACCTCCTCTGAGCCAGCAGCATCACTCTACCACGATGCGAAATGAAACTCGGTGCTAAGACGATCCAGAAAAACCGAAGCGCTTAAAGATTTCGAGGAGCTCGCGAGGGTCATATCCTGAATCTCGGATTTTGATAAGGAGAAGAAGCTCGATGAAGGAAGTGGAGATTCCTACCTATGCGCACCGCGGAAAAGGATGACGAGAAACGAGGAGGAGGAGAAGGAGGAGGAGGAGGATGGGGCGGAGGAGGAGTTAGGAGGATACTCCTGGGAGGTCATCATGGGAATGATTGAATGTTAATGAGCTTGTTCGCGGGGGGCTACTGATGCGATTAAAACCGGCTTAGGCTCAACATCGGGCCGGATTTAGTAGGGCTAAGAAGAGCTAGCCCCTCACGATTGTACCACCACCTGTGCTGAAGTCAACCTTCCAGGAGTTGCAACCTGAGGGAGGAGGAGCAAAGAAGAGGAGCAGGGGGAGGAGGACCTTCACATCCGTGCGTCTTACAAAAAAATCGCAGCGGAAGGTTTTTGACAGTTCGACCTCCGGAGCCCCGCACTGGGTACTGAGACAATCCTGAAACAACCCAGGATGAAAAACTAATCTCCAGGACGGGATCCAGACCCTGGGGGAGCAGTGCTGTCAACAAAAATCACGACGGCGGACTTCTGGGGAGGCGGAGGAGGCGGAGGAGGATCGAATCGGTCCGAGATTCGACGAGCCGAGTTTGCTGGCCTTTTGTGGCCTCGGTGGAGGCTTCTCGTCGTCACGGCCCGATTCGCTTGGAAATTGATGTGAAAACGCGTCCCTGGACAGGTCTGGGGGCCGATTTCTGCGGAGGGAGGAGGGACGCCGATGATGACAACAAGAGTTTGAGCAGGAGAACGGGGAGGGGGATAGGGAGGATACCAAGATGATAGCGGGAGGGGGGGGTAGAAGACGAGAGCAATGCCGAGGAGGAAGAAGAGAACGGCCACAAGGACGACGGCAGAAATCATAAGGACGAATAACTGGAGAGCCTGGCAAGGTCTGTAATGCGAAGGCGGCGGAGTGTCATCATGATCGTGATGAGGAACACGACGATGACCATGCGGACGCGCTGTTGGGAGGGGGAGCATGATGAGCTGGAGGAGGAGGAGGAGGAGGAGGAGGAGGAGGAGGAGGGATCATGACGAGAACGGGGGGACAACGCGTAGACATAGGCAAGCGGGTGACGAGGAATATCGAGAAAGTGGCCGAGGACCCAGGAGGAAGATTAGAAGGGTCCTTTATCATGAGGAGGTTGATTAGGAGGATAGAGGAAGGAGAAGCCGTATAAACATATGCTGTCAGAGCTCCGCGTGGATTTATTGGATCAGCACTCGACCCCGCCTCGCTGGCGCGCGGAGCACGCCAGGGGCGGCGCCGGAAACGCTACCAAGGGGGTCCAACGCAGATCCGACAGAAATCCGCGCGGACCTTCGAAAGTTGATGTTTCGGGAGGAGGTGTTAGAGAGGGAGGGCGATGTCGAGGGCACCGTCGAGGACGAGGTGGAGGAGTGCGTGCCGAATCGGACCCGCCTGTCCTGCAGCGCGAAGAGGTCCTGCTGCATCTGCAGCACCTGCAGCACTGCAGCACATGCCGCCACGCCCATGGGGGTGGAAGGAGGAGCCTCCTCCTCCTCCTCCTCCTCCTCCTCCTCCTCCTCCTCCTATTCCTTGTTCTCCCTTCTCCTCTGTCTAACCCCGCTTCCTCTCCCTCCTCCGCCTCCTCCCAAGGGTATCTTGAATTTGCAGATCGGGGAATGTATATATATATATATATATATATATATATATATATATATATACACATCTAGATATAGTTATATATGCATTGCGTGTATAGACACACATTTTGTATATTTTGTATAGACACACATTAGAACCACGCGCCCGCTACGCGCGCGCTTAGGTTCTAGCCGACTCTGCAGTCATTGTCATTAAGCTAGGCGAGAATTCACAAACACGGATTTTCCAAAGGAGAAATGCCCCGAGCGTAGGCCACCCTTAGCGCGTGGTGCCATGCCTTCTGAGGGATAGCACCGGGCTTGTGGGGCAGTCACGGAGTCCGCCGACCCCGTTGGGGTCATCAAGGCGTGTGAGATTTCCCCCCATTAATCCCCCCCGGATATGGGGGGGGTCGAGGGGCGCACGCCATAAATTCAGGTTCGAGTCCGGGAAAACCGAGAATTGGAGACGCCGGGCCGAATCCCAGAAACGCGTGGACGAACCCTGGAAACGCTCCACCGAATCTGGGAAAGGATGCTCCTCGGAAAAAAAAAGAACACCCCCGAGGACCCCCCCCAGTACTCCCCCGCGCCTTCGCGGTCTCACGAAGAGAGCGGGGTCGAGCGGGCGGCACGCAAAAAAGCATCGCACGTAAGGGGCTGCACGCAGGAGCCCTCGCGAGCGGGTCCGCTCGGGTCGGGCGGACCCTCACGGGCGGGCCAGGTCGGGCGGGCGGGACCCTAACGGACGAGTCGGGCCGGGGAGTCGGGTCGGCTCGTGGGGCGGGACATCGACATGTGATGCAAAATTGAACGGGGCCCGCGAGCTCTCGTCCTCCTCCGCGTCCTCGTATCCTTCCTCCTCCTCCTCCTCCTCCTCCTCCTCCTCGTCCTCCTCCTCCTCCCCGTCCTCCTCCTCCTCCTCGTCCTCCTCCTTCTCCTCCTCCTCCTCCTTCTCGTCTTCCTCCTCCTTTTCCTCCTCCACCTCCTTTTCCTCATTCCAACCCCGGGCTCCCCACCCTGGAAGCTCCCTCCCGCCTGCCCACCAGGCCGGCTCTACCCCCCGCCCCATGACCGCAAACCTCGCCCCAAAAGTCCCGCTAACTGCGGCCTCCCCGGAAGGGCCCCCTCCTCTCCCCCGCCCCCCCTCCCGCCTACCTCCCGCCCTGGGTGCAAACCTCTCCAATGCGGCGCCAACCGCGGCGACATCTTTCAATTTGGCTGGAGGTTTACACCCGGGGGCCTCCCGCGGGCGCTCCCCCGCCCGCCCAGCGCCGGCTCTGCCCTCCGCCCTGGGTGCAAACCTCTCCCCGAACGCAGTGCAAACCGCAATGCCTGTGAATTTCGCAGGAGGTTTGCACTCCGGGGCTTCCCGCGGGCCCCCGCCCCGTCGGGCCCTGCCCCCCCGGGCTGGGGCGGCAGGACTCTCCCCAACTGCGGCGCGAGCCGCGATACCCTCCAAATCTGCGGGAGCTTTGGAGGAGGAGGAAAAGGAGGAGGAGGATAGGAGGAGGATAGGAGGAGGAGGAGGAGGAGGAGGAGGAGAAGGAGGAGGAGGAGGGAGAGGTGGAGGGGGAGGGGGAGGTGAGGGGGAGGGGGAGGAGGAGGGAGGAGGAGGAGGAGGAGGAGGAGGAGGAGGAGGAGGAGGAGGAGGAGGAGAAGGAGAAGGAGGAGGAGGAGGAGGAGGAGGAGGAGGAGGAGGCCTCCCGTGGGCGCCCCCCCCCGCCCAGGGCCGCCGCCCAGGGCCGCCGCCCAGGGCCGCGCCTGGCCCTCCAGCGCCTCGTTCTCGCCCCGCAGCGCGCCCGCCTCGAGCCTGCCCTGCAGCTCCGCGCGCCGTGCCTCGAGGGCCTCCACTCGGCCGCCGACGCCGCCGCGGGCGCCGCCGCCGCCGACCGCCGCCATCGCCGTCGCCGTCGTCGGCGTCGCCGCTGGCGTCGTCGGCGTTGCCGCCGCGGCGGCGGGCGTCGCCGACGCCGCCGCGGCGTCGTCGCGCTTCGACGCTGGCACCGCCGCCGCCGTCGCCGTCGTCCTCGTGCGTCGCCGCCCTCGCTGCCGTCGTCGCCGTCGCCGCCGCCACCGACGTCGGCGTCGATCCCAGATCTCCGACGACACGATCTTGTCAATCCAGCTCGATGTCGGCCGAAGGAGCCCGTTGTTGGGCCCCAGGGCCAGCAAAAATGGAGCTGTGGCGACAAACTGGCCCTGGTGACGGGGTCGGGACCTTTGGGGCCGCGCACTGAAGGATCCAAAGCAGCATGTCCAGAATGTTGTCGTCGTCGTCGTCGTCAAGTCGCCGACGCACAGGAGGAGGCATGTGTGGCCGGGCGGCGGGAGCGGGACAAGGGTGAGAGTGGGAGGGCGACGACGTGGGCGAGGAAGCGTGTGGAGGGGATACGATAAGATTAGATAAGGCTGGATCGCATTCCCATCGGTCGGAAGAGGTAGGTAGAAACATGAAGCAGGAAGGCGCTGAGAGTAGATTGGGTTCCGCCCGCGCCCCTGGGAGGACGGAAGAGGTGAAGCCATCTGACCATGGAAGCAGGAAGGCGCGGCGCTCCAAGTAGATTGGATTTTGGGAATCACAAACACCTACATTTAGGTAGGGCATGTCCTCCTACAGGCGGGTTTTGGACAGCAGACATATAACATAGCCTAAACATACGAAAGGAAATGCCCCCCAACCAGTCAACACATGGTCCCCAGACGATTTGCTTCACTATGCTTGAAGACTCCTCATGTCACGAGGGAGATGCCCGACGTAGACCCACTTCTAACGACCGATGAGCGAGATTAGACCGTGGCCACAAAGCCAGCGCGCGTGGGCCTGCGCAGCCCTCGCCCCCGCCTCGGGGTCCCCCGAGGCGCCTCCGAGAGGCCGGCCTCTGGATGAGCCCCCCTCTCCCCGCCTGCCTCGGCGAGGGGGCGCTGCCCAGGGGCGCCCACGTGCCGGGGCGAGGCCCGCCGCGGGGAGGGAAGGGGAGGCAAAACGCACGCTGCGGAAACAACACCCACACGGTCCGTGGACACGAGCACACCGTGCTTCTTGCCCACCGTGCTTTTCTGTGGGGAAACGCACGCACAGACACTGTGTGTGCTTACACCCTGCGCTGGTTCCCTCCGTGCTTTTTCAACACGCTCGGCGCGTGTGGCTTTTCTACGGAGATGTTCCAGCTTCTCTTTTCCACCGCGTGCTCTTCTTTCCTAGGGGGCAAACAACAAACCTACCTCGCTTTTGACCACCCTCGCTTCCAAGAGATACCAAGCGATGCCAAACTACGACATGTACTGGTCAGGCCGCTTGACGAGGAGGCGCGTGGTATGACTTGGTTTTGCCTGGACGCGAAAGCGGGGTAGGTAGTTCACGCCCTTCTCTCCATAGCCTCGGGGAGGGAGGGGGGGGGGGACAGGAGGAAACGAGCGGCGCAGGGGCGGTTGGCAGGCGGAGAGCCTGGGCGGGCGCTGCGCGCAATCAGGGGCGCGGCCGCGCCCACGGCACCGCGCACTCGCGGAGCGGCTGCAGGGCCGCAGGCCCCCGAGGAAGGGAGGACGGGGAACGCTCTCCCCAGGAGGGGCTCCACATCCTCTGTGGGCATCCCCTCCGCCCAGCACGCCCACAGGGGAGGACTGCCTGGGTCAGCTCCCCGCGCTCGGAGAAGGGGGCGCCGCAGAACGCAGTCAAGGTGTTATATCGTCAGGGATGCCGGAAGGCCCACCAGAAGGAGCGGGCGACTCGACACATGGAGGGGGGGGATGGGCGAGGGAGGGCGGGGGAGGGCGAGGAGGGGGAGGAGGGCGAGGGGGGGGGAGGAGGGCGACCAGGGCGAGGGAGGGACGGGGGGAGGGCGAGGAGGGGCAGGAGGGCCACGAGGGGGGGGAGGCCGCAGCTGGAGGGGAAGGAGGGCGAAGAACGGGGGAGGGAAGGCGAGGACGAGGGCGAGGCGGGGCGAGGAGGGGGCAGGCGGAGGGCGAGAGGAGGAGGAGGGCGAGGAGAGCAAGGAGGGGGGGGGAGGGCGAGGAGGAGAAGGAGGGGGAGGGTCCGAGGCGGGCAGGCCTGCAGCTGGACCTCGCCCGCCGACCGGCTGGGCTCGGGCAGGGCGGCCTGGCCCGCGCAGGGGCAATCTCTGCACGCCGCCCGCAGGGACGCAGCTGGAGAGGGGCATGGCCATGATGGGCCTGTGTTCCATCCACCACAACCACCACCACCAGAAGTAGGAGGAGGAGGAGAAGGATGAGGATGAGGATGAGGATGAGGATGAGGATGAGGATGAGGATGAGGAGGAGGAGGAGGAGGAGGAGGAGGAGGAGGAGGAGGAGGAGGAGGAGGAGGAGGAGGAGGGGGAGGAGGAGGAGGAGGACCCCCTCCCCCTCCCCCTCCAACTTATGGTGGTGGTGGTGGTGGAAAATAAGCCCATCAGGCCAAACGTGGAAATCGGCGTCCCCCCTGCTCCCGTTGGCGTGCCCAGCGCCCTGCAGATACGAGGGGAAACCGCCCCGGTCTTCGGAGACTCCCGAAGGCTTGTTGGAAAATCTCTCGAACTTCGGAGTTCTCGAGACCTCTCAGAAGTCTCGACGCTCACGGAATCTGAATTCTCGAACGTCTCGAGAGTCGAAAACCTCATGGAGGCGTGTCCTCTGAGCCTGGCCCCCCCCCCCCCGAGCTGCCCATGAGCTCCATGTGGCTCTTGACCGTGGCGACTTGACGCAGCATTCGACGACGACGAAGACGACGACGACGACGCGAGCCGCTGGGTTGGGGTGAGGGACCACGACTGGGGGGGGGGGCCAGCTCAGGGGGGGATGCATCGAGCTGGAATCGGCGATACGTCGCCGATAGAGCGGCGACCGGCGTCTTCCTGGGCGGGGTGGGCAATCGGGCCCCTATCGGCGATCGGTGGGCGACTGGGGGTGCAGATGCAGCTCCCCATGGGTCTAGCACCCACTCCTCCTCTTCCTCTTCCCCTCCCTCCTCCTCCTCCTCCTCCTCCTCCTCCTCCTCCACCTGCCGCTGCCCCAGAAGATGGGGGGAAGGGGAGCTCCCTGCCTGCCTCCCTTCTTCCCGACGGGGCGAAGCGCGATGCCACGGCACGCCCTGCAAAGCTCCGCGCAGCACCCCAAGCCACCACCAGCGGTGAAACGGCTGCCTCCTGCCTCGCCATCCCGGGGGGGCTGCGATCTGCGAAACCGTCGCCACTCTCGAGGGCTGCTTTTGGGGGGGGGGGCAGCACAACGACGTCCTCCTGCTATAGCCTGCAGCCTCGGCCGCATGGCGCCTGTGCAACGCCGAATAATGTTCCAGAATGCGGTTCCCTTCCTCCCCCCACTACGGCGATCGTGCTACCGTGAAAAAGCGCCAGATCAAACACGAAGGGTTTTTGTCTCTGGCCACGGCGAGCCTCGGCCGAGAACAGGTTCCACGACCTGGATCAACGGAGCGACCCGGAAACCAAAGGCCCTCCTCGACCCAGAGTGGTCCTTACTTCACCGTCTTGACTGGAGATGCCTCCCTCCACTAGCTTCGCGGATGGTTCCGAATCGAGCCCGCGCGATCCGCATCCTCGAAAGCAAACGCCAGGGATCTCGGCCCAGACCCCTGCGGAGCGATCCCATAAGCGGTTCCCAGGTGGCTTCGTCCCCAGAGGCGAGGCAGGGGGTGGACGAAGGGAACCATATACCTCCAACGTCTGCAACAAGTTCGGCCTCACGCAGGGGGCGCGCGGCTGTCGGGGAGGTAGTCGGGGCGGGGGGGATAGGCCAACTTTTTATTACAAGCGCAAAGGGGGCCCTGTGGCGAAGAAGCAGGCGGGAGGGGAGAGGGGATAGGGGATAGGCCAACACCCAAGTGCGCAAACCGCTGCCATCGCACCACGTCCAAAGATCCAAAGATCGGGGGACCCCAGTGGTCCCGGGACCAACGGTCACGCGGGCAAGCAAGAGGGCAAGAGGCAGAGGATACAGCCAACCCATACAGTAAGGACGCGCGATACGGCTGCAAGGGCCCTGGAAGGCCATGCGGACACTGTGCGGGCAGGGCGCGGCCAGCGAGAGCGGTCAAGGATTGGCCGAATGGGAAGGCTGCCAGGGTAGCCGAATGGGAAGTCGCTCGTCCTCACCGTCATGGGAACGCGGCGCGGAGGCGCGCAGTGTGCCTCGAGTGCGGTGCGAGCGTGGCGAGGCAGAGGGGCGCAGGAATGGGCTCGAGACATCTCCTGCGGGGGTCACCGCCCACCCGTCCTCGGTCGAGGCCGGAGTCCCCAGGCCGACGACGCCGACGGCGACGGCAACAACTGCGACGAGGGCGGGACAAAAACGGCGAGGGGCTGCAATGGCGGCGAAGACAAGAGCGACGATGACGGAGACGACGGCGGCGGCGGCGGAGACCGCTGGGCCTGATGTGTTCTTCGGCGCGTTCTGACTCACATCCCACTAGCCCTGAGGGCGTAGGAGGTTTTTAGAGTCTGCTCTTCCAACCTCCTTCTTCTCCTTCGGTCCCACAGGTCGAGATGCAGGGCGCCACGAGGGGCTAGAGTGTCCAAGATCCAATGAGGCCCAAGGTGGCTCCAAGAGGACCTCGGACATCCCATGATTGCTCCAGGATAGCCTCCAAGACGGCATCTGCGTGTGGATGAAGAAGTCCGCCGACATGCCTCCAGCGGGCCTCTGAATCCTCAAGATAGCTCCAAGATCGCCCAAGAGAGCCCCAGGAGGGACCGAGAAATGACCCAAGAAGTCTACCCAAGAGCGCTCCAAGACCCCACGTTTCAAGAGGCGACTTGTCGTGCTCCAGGGCGGCGACGCTTATTATCGGCGCCGTCCCTTTTGGGAAGCCTCGTGAACCTTCCCAGTCTGAGCCCCGGTTCGGGGCTTCGGGGGGCATCAAGTGCGTTTGTTTGCCCAGGCGCTCTTCCCTTGAGGGAGACATGCTAAGAGCATAGAAGGCCGCAGGGCACCACGAGACACCACAGGACACCATGGAAAATCACGATCCATGCCACGATCGATCTCCCTGTATCTACCGATCTCACTATCTATCGAGCTCACCGTCGATTTCACTTTCGATCTCACAATGTATTTCACGCTCTGTCTCGCCATTTGATCTCGCTGTCACTATCGATCTCAGGTTCAGTCGATCGATCGACCACACTACACTCGGACCTAGGCCATAATAACATCCTTCAAGAACATGAGACCTTCGTCGGCCAAAACAAACAGAACATCCAAGGGAACCCTCCGCAGGATGCACAAGAACATCCAACAAACACGAAGAACACTAGGGCACCCTTCCCGAACCGACCTCGATCTTATACCTCGGTCCGACTGTATTGATCTCACTCCCCAGTTCCCCATCGACCTATCAGTCTCGCTACCGATATCAGTGCCAATATCCCTCTACCTGTCGATCTCAATATCTCTCGATAACAGTCGACCTCGCTATCGATTTCACGATCGATTTGTCGATCGATCTCACTATCGATCTCATTATCGATCTCACTATCGATCTCACGATCGATCTCACTCCATCGATCAGACACTCGATCGCAATATCGATCTAACTATCGACCTCCACGGGACAACACGGGAAACCACGGGACACCGCGCCACGGGACACTACGGGACAAAACGGAGCACCACTGGACACTGGCGGGACACCCCCGGCCCACCGCCGGCCAACCATGGGGAGGAGAGACATTGCGCCCTGGTTTCGCCCTATCCAGGGTGGAATCAATCCTCTGGCCCGCCCACGCAGGCGTACACACATGTATACATATAGATAGGTATACATGTACAGATGTGCATGTATAGGCATAATCATATACATGTATATATAGTTGTATTTGTATATATATAATATGTATTATATACATAGATGTATGTATCTGCATTGGCGCTTGGCGCCTCGATGTTTGGCATGCAGGCGGGAGGGCAAGCAACTAGAACGGAACTTTTAGCGGCCATGCCTTGCTGCCTTTTCTGGCATCGTCGTTATAATCATGCTTGTCCCTATCCTTTCCTCATGCTCCCATTTCCTGTCCCTCATTCTCGCCCTACCCTGCGAATTCGTCCCCATCCTCCTTAGCTCTTTTTGCGGAGGCTCCTCCTTGGAGAGCCTCACAAACGTCTTTGAGGACTTCTTGGGGCCTTCTGAGGCCTCCTGGGCTCTTTCTGGGGGCCTCCGGGGACTTCCGCGGGCCGCCCTGCTTCCAACCGCGGTCTCCCTGCCTGACCGGGTCACGGCTCGGAATGCTTCGTGGGGCACCTTGGTGGGTCTTGGGGCCATCTTGAATAGTCGTGGGGCTCCCCTCGGGCTCTTCCTGGGAAGAAGGACGACGACGACGATCAGGGTGGGGAGGAGGACGGGGAGGACTACGAGTCGTGCGAGGACGCTGCGTGTCGAAATTTATGCGGGGCTACGCCCGACTTGCGCTCGCCGCTTGGGCTGGCGGTGGGGCCCCAACGGCGAGCCGTCTTGCTTTTTGTCTGCTCCCCTCCTGCCGCGGCGACCCGCGGCCCGAGCGTCCCGGGCCTCGTCTCTGCCCTGGCGGCTGCACCCGAGAGAAGAGGAGGGTGCAGCAAAAGAGGCGCTCGCGGGAAGGCTCTCGCCCTGTGCTGGCCCGCCAGCCTGGACATGGCCTCTCGCGCGGCGGGGCGCGAGGCGCAGGCAGACGCAGCGAGGAGGCGTGGGGGGAGGGAGGAGGAGGAGGAGGAGGAGGAGGAGGAGGAGGAGGAGGAGGAGGAGGAGGAGGGAGGAGGAGGAGGAGGAGAGGCGGAGGAGG